CACTAAAGTCCCTGAAGTCGGGTTGGCCCTCGGGGGGTTGACAGGATTATTCTGCAACAAAGTGTCAAGCCACTCCTGCCCGACCTTAAGGGCAAAAGGGGGCAGGGCGGCCGGGCCATGGGCCCCTAAAAGCCCTCCTCTGAGCCGCGAAAGTCTTCGGCGCACCGTTTTCAAAAAGAAATAATGCCGAAAAAGCGAACCCCCTTGAACCCCCGCCGCATACATCATACGTGAAGTGAAGCTTTCCAATTCCCCAACCGACATCTTATGGAGGGGCGTGGCACTCTTCAATTTCCGTGACGCCTTGTCACTGAGGGAAACCGTCTTCGCAGTGTGGTGGAAACAAACCCCTATGAATTCGTAACGCGCGGTGGGAGCCTCGTGCTCTCCCACCGTTGCGCCGCATTTACGCATATTTGTCGCAATAATGTTCCCCCAAGACTCTACGCTCCTGCGTGGCCCTTTGATGCGAATATTATCAATCCACACGTGTAGAGTTAACTCCGCCGGGGATGCATAACGCGGTTTAACCATCTCGGGGTCCCCCGCCAAAACCTTTGCGATGGTATGCAAAATTTCCGGGCTACATTTATACCCCATTGGGGGCCGTGTGAACTCGACCAGCCCCCCTTCTCCGTCGACAACGGAAATTTCTGCGTCTTTCGGCTGGCAAACCCGCCTGGAAAAAGGATGCCTTGAGATCGAAAATGGCGGCAGCCTCACCATACACCGCACCCAGGTAACGGGAAATGCGCCCTAGAGGAACCATACCCTCGTAGTCCTATTGTTCATTTTTAGCTTGTGGCCAGGCGATAAAACGTCGCCGTGGCCCAGACGGTTTTTCCTTCACTACTGTAAAAGGCACCACCCACCCGGCAGTGGGTGGCTTTGATGCGGTTTGAATAATGCCCGCCCTCTTCATCGCCCGGGCGCCCCCTTCCGTCATTCTCGAGAGGGGCTCTCGTCCCCCTGTCCGGAAATTAGCTGGCTCTTGCACCAAATCCCACACCGTATTAAACCGTTCCAGAGCCTTAGAATTGAATCGGCTCCAGACCCAGCGCGGTGAGAGAGTATCCGCATCTACCTTTTGTAACGGTAGCCTGCGTTCATCGTTCTGATCGGCCGCCCGCGTGTGATGTGTACGTCGCAAAATGCTAGGCCCCTGAAAAAATTGTCCCTTATCCTGCTCTCTGCCCGGACAGGCCCATGGAAACATCGCTCATTTGCTGACCTCGTCTACATATATGCCGTCAGGTGTGCCGCTTTGTTGACCAAAGCGACCCACGGCCCTATGTAGCGAGCTGTGCTGCGTGGCGGCTCTGGGGGGTCTGCGCGTTTTCCCAACTGAGCCAGCAGGCGAGGGCCGAGATCGTGTTCGATCACCGCTGCGGCTGCTTGCGCCAGTGCCCCTCGTTTTACGGAATGCGCTGTCATGCCGAATGGGCGGAGTAGGTTTTCCATGTCTCTTGTGGTTAAAGTTGTGAGCCGTTCCCCCTCCACCATTCCCGTGGTGACGCGCCTTACCCTTTCGGCATCTTCTCTTCCGATTGCCAAATACCGCACCGCTCTTTGGGGGTCGATTTTGAACGTCTTTGGGAGAGCCCCCCAGTCTACAATGAGGGCTTCCTTGGTTGAGGGTGGGAAATGGAATTTTCCTTTTGGAGTAGGGCGATTTCGCCCCATTTACTGGCTGTGACCCAGGCAAGTCGTAGGGCCACCCGGTCGTTCCCCGAGGTCGGCATATTGCCGATGAGATCCAGTCCCCATCTCTCCATGGGGCGGGCCTGTTTTATGGGGTTTGTGGCCGCCTTCCTTTGAAGACCGGCCAAAAACATCTGAGCCGGTGATCTCCCTGTGGCCAGTAATGTCAGCTAGGTTCTTGTGTATTGCACCGCGCTGCCCTTGGTGAGTTGTAGACTTACAATAAAAAGAGTAACGTTTTTCTCCCGAACCTCTAGATCGTACTTTTTCGCAAAGTTGCAGAATCTTCGCATGATGGACACCCTTTGTTTCCAAGCCGAAAGGGTCCACAAACCCCTGGCTATGAAATTCGCCTCGGACGCCAGCGCTGTGACATATGGGTTGTGTGGCGGTGCCGAAATTACTGTAAACTCGTTTGCTGAGGTCTTTAAGGGCGGAAGAACCTGTCTTACCTGAACCCTCCCGGGCGGGGGGCGCCCGTGGGGCCTGGCATGGTGAAATGGCGTGTAGGGCCCTTCCCGCGGCGAAACGCCCTCTTCCGGGCGCCTGGAAGTGCCCGAAGCGCCCGGCAAGGATTCCAATGCTTTCCCGGCCCCGGGGTTCACTGCTTCCGGGGCCGATAATCGTTTTTGGCTTAAACGGGGTCTTTTTCACTTGCACATAGCATGTTGTGCTGTAGTGCCGTGTGCGTCCGCATCGAAAACAACGCGCGTAGCTAGGAGGGGCGGAATGTTATTTCGCTTTCTGGACAGCCTGAAAAACCGGGCCGTCCTATTTTCTGGGATCGCCGATGGCGTTGGCAAGAGTTTGGATATTAACGCCGGGGTTTTCCTTCGCCGCCTGAGCCACCCGAAGCTGATAATACAGCCGTCTGC